TAGCGTAGGGGCTGCTGGTCCCCACGATGGAGCTTCCGAAGGGGAGCAGCCACTGCATCATCTTAAACTCTGCAGCACCCTCTCTTGACACGATACAGCAATGCCGTGAGCTTCCCTCCCTCGCTCCTCGGGAATCTATCAAAATATATAACAGAGAAATTTGTACACCTCTGTTACATTTTACTTTTTAAAGATCTAGTTTATGTAGTAAAATCTCAATTTCCCCTATGTTTTGGGATCAGTTCTCTTATTTTTATTTTTTCTCCTCCTACTGCCATTTTGGTCTGTCAGCAGACCGAGATCAGAAAGCTTCAGTCATCTTAGTCTTTTTGTATTTTATTTTTTTTTTCCTTTGCTGCAGAGATCCTGAAGACTTTCCAAACTGCATATTTGGTGCTGTAGAAATACAAATTGTCTGCTCTTTTGTAAACCTTTCAATTGTCAGACTGCTCTCTTTCAAAATAATAGAGGAGCCTGGAATCGCCCAAGCTAAAATTAAGAATTTATAACTGTATGGAACAGATGTTTTCATAAACATTTGCTATAATTAATTTCAACTAGGGGATTGAAGGAACAAAGCAGTTTTTCCCTCTTCAAAACTTTATTGCTTTTTCCCCATACAGCGAACTCAGAAATCTTTGCTTTAATATTGTTAATGAAACAAATTTACTCTTCTGTTTGGTTTTCATTGTGAAAAAGGAAAGCTTAATTTGAACAAGATACCGGCCTTTGGAACAATGGACAGATATGCTGAATTTCAAACATCGTGTGTAAAGGATTGAAATACAGAGCATAAGTCTTTAGGTGCTCATTTCTGAGACCGCAACTCTGTGGTGTCAATTGTCAGAGATTCCTACATATTAGAATAAATTTTATCCAGATCAGTTTGATGAACATCTATCTGTGGAGTAAATAGTATGAAGGAATTTTATGTTTGAAGAGTTGTGAACCTTGGTGTTACAAAAAGCAAAGGAGTCTCGTGGCATTATATATTGTTTTAATGCATAGTAAAATGCTTATTGTATGTTGATTACCCCTTTATACTCACAATAAAGGCCTGCAATCTGTTAGGCATTTTTTTTTTGTTTGCATTATGTGAGGAACACATTTTGACTAAAATCATTCTTCCATATTTGTATTGTCACTAGTTTTTTGGGGATATTGTTTGGAACGTATATAGTTTAGGACCAGAATTTTGGTGTTATTGTGAAGAAGAAAAAATATCGATGCATTATTGTTCTGTTTTTACTACTTCCTGTATATTATATAAATATCATTTGAGGAAAAAAATGTTTAAAGTTTTAAAATAAGCACAGCTTAATTGTTTTACACCTGAAAGAACCAGTGCAGCTGCAAGGATTTTTTTGAGCAAACTAGAATTCCTGACTGATCTGTCATCTATAAAGTGTGCAAAGAAAAATAGGTAGCTGTCATTAAAATTGCATTTCAGCTTTCAATAACCATTTAATGAGTAGCGTAATTATATAAGTATGGTACCTCAAGTACTTCACTCAATAATTAAAAATAATCTCATCTTTAAAGTGAAAGCGCTATAATTATTATTTGACTTAACCAGGACCACTGTTATGATCTCCAGTGGCACCTCAGATTGTTCAAAGTGGTTTTGAAAGTATAAATTAAAATTGGATAAATCATTAAATTATTAAGCTTTAAATATGCTGAAAATGAATATAGCATGGAATTTGGAAGTCATGTTATAAGAATTGACAACCTTACAGTGCAAGCATATATTTGTGTTAAAATTTTCCTGGTATCTGATCATAAAATACTGCATTAATGATTGGGTGTTTTATATCAACCTGAACTTAAATTTTCACAACTGTTAAATAAATTTTGGTTTTTAACAACATTTTAACCTTTGATTAGAATACAAAGAAAATATCAAGCAGAGTGCAAACTCGTCAGCAAAAAGATCTGTCTCCATTTTGACACTTGTAAGCAAGGGAATGCACAGTTTGATTTCCTAAGTGGGATCACTTTTATCACGAATCCCTAAACTGCCAGCTGTAAAACCATTTCATAGCTGACATGAGATTGGTAAATTGGTTAGCACTATATAAATATACATGTGTGCCCACACATAGACATGCATATGTGTGTATACATACATACAGAAATGTGTATATATGTAAAGACATTTCTTCAGTATCAAAACATATTTTCAAAAGAAAAAAAAATAGAGTTCAATTCTTTTTAAAAGTAGGAGTATATATCCACAGAGTAAGGGGATGTCCCTCAACCTTCTTGTCTTCACAGACTTGCAGCTGGTTATGATAGCATCCCACCCCTTCTCTGTTAGGAGTCCTGTGCTGAATTTTTGCATCTCACAGAAAATAGATGTTTTTGGAGAGGCAATGAAGGAGATGACTGAGAAATGTCTGATCCCTACATCGTTCTTCACATGCTTTTTTACTCTTGTTGAGCACATGCTTAAGCTCAGAGTGCTCATTGTGTCTCCTGCGTACCCAGAGCATCTTCCCACTCTTGAACTGGAGCTCTGAAATGCTAGCCAGTTTCTTCTTATTGCCTGAAGTAGAAACTGTGCACTGCACCTTGAAAAAGTCTTCTTTGAGAAGATATTATTCTATCAGTATAATAGGCTGTTAAAAAATAAAAATACAAAAGTAGTGTGCGTATTTAAATTAGGCTTCTCCTTGTTACAATTTCTACACATGGTTTTCAGATAATCTTCAGAAAGTGTATTTGGCATCCTCCTTATTCTGGGTTATTTTAGACAAAGGTGCAAAAGTTAATAAAAAAATGCATTCCAAATTAGATGAGAAAAAACACTTGGAAGGAAAGTTCTATGCCAAATTGAATGATTAAGTATTTTTTAAGCAATATCTGGAGTAAGCAAAGATCCTGAAAGAAACAGAAAAAGAGCTTGATCTGCAAAGGCGGCTACCTCCTGGATATCAAAAAGTGGGGTGTTATAGTGACAATTAGCAAAAGTTCAGTTGAATTAGATCATAAGAAGGGAATTTAAATTAACAAGAAAATATTACTTGACTATGTAAAGAAGCTTTCTGGGGAAGAAAACTACAACCATTGTGCAGTGCAAATGGACAAATGATATGAAATGTAATCCAGGTCTAAACAGGAAAAGTTTTGATTTTCAGTAAAAACAAGATTTCAGGCAAAGGCCTGAAAATAAATAAATAAAATAAAAGGGAGTGTTGGGTAAATATTATAAACTAGCACATCCAATAAAGATTAAATCAGCTGACTTTCAGAGTAAATGTCTTTCAAGAATACTGACAAATACTGCTGCCTGGAACAATTTTTTAGTCTTTCAGTTCACGGCTGATAGCATATATTTGAAGGAGAGGAAATGTAGTACCTGTACTTAGATTAAGAGACAAAAAAGTGATAGCAAAGCAGCTATATAGGTTGACTATTATCTGTGCAGGGCTTTAGAAAAGTTTTTAAGGAAGAACTAAGAGAGAAAAGAAAAGCAAATTCCATAACTTTTACTGCGAGTGTTTTGTTAAATGGGAGATTGTGCCCGACTAACCTGCTAGCCTTTCAAAATATACATTAAGGAAATACATTAAGTCTATCTGGGCCTCAGTAAACCATCTGATGTAGTGCCACAGATGTTATGAAATAGAAAGGATGGGGGTTAGTGAAGTATGGTAATTATAAGATGAATGGAGAAATGCAGATTTTAATTTAAAGAATCTAAAGAATTATTTTTAGGGGAATTTGTGGTGGAACTGATCTTATCCAATATTTTCATTTGTTGTCTTGCCACAAAATGAGAGACTGCACTGATGGACTTTTATGGAGAAATAATATTGGAAGGTAGTATCTGGTGCAAGCACAAATAGATTATTCAGGTAGGACTGGTCCTTTCTGAGGAAAAGAGGACTAGAAACAGCATGAAATAGTCTGAGATACAGTATTGTACTAGGAAGAATTTTTACTGTACACTGCAAACTTCTTTTTGTAGAGATGGAGAGTAAACACGCAGGAGTGTTGGTTAAGGATGGCTGTGAAATTGCAAAATGGTGTGGCATGATTATAGACTGTATTGAGCAAGATTTTTTTGACAGAGAAGACGACCACTGTCCGAAGAATCAACCGATTAAACTTTTAGTATGCTGTCTACAGCTCCTGTCCCTTCTTTTCCATGTGTAAGAAGGACTGACTTAAACAAAACAGGGAATAAGGAGCCTCATTTAGGAAAAAGATTGAAAGAACTTGGTTTCAGTAAGCAGAACAGAGGACACAAAGGTGCACAATGCTATCTGTAAATGAATTAAGGAAATACACAGGGACAGAGAAGAATTATCGAGCTAAATGACAGGTTGGGAAAGAATAAATAGTATAAAACAGGACATGAATAAATTTGCTTTGAAAAATAGATGATTAGTTCTGGCTTTTAACAGTCCTTCAACAGAAGTAGTTATTACAGAGAGGAAGGTTTCCTTGTAATCCTTGGTTTCTATGAACGTCACTGTTGTATGTATAAACAGCCCACAGGATGTAAAACAAGATGTTTTGCAGACGTGTTACTTGGGTAGTTTCAGAGAATCTTTGAACTTCTGCTGTGACAAAAAATATCTGGTATCACACAGTCAACTCGAAGTTCTTCACAAAATACATGAACTTTCACATTCTTTGACTTAATGTTAGTGAAATCAAACTCATCTATTTATATGGTATACCTCTGTAACCTTATACAAGTAAAATTGTGTTTAATAAGTTGAAAAGGGCCTCAGTGAAAACTCTAAGTGAAATTAAATCTCAGATTTTCAGAACTTTCAGACTCCAAATTGAATATGGAGGCTAGTTGTCTCTCTTGCCAGCTATAAGAATTTGAAGATGTAAAGTTGAGGCTTGTCTGTGTAAGTTTTGTCATAAACTAAAGTTACCGTATATGCTAAAATCAACTGCAATTCTCATTGATACTGTGTTACTTATTATCAGGGTTTGTCTTATAACAAAAGCGTTTTCTTTTATTTTTGTATTAGGAGGATCAAATGAAAATGGAGGCACACACCACACCTCAGATTCTGATGGAACATTTATTTCTTACAGGTTGGTAATTTTTTATATTTATTTTCTAATTTTAAAAAGTTTGAATATAATAATCAGAATAACCTATTTAAAGCAAAAGAAAAAGTCCATATATTTTAGGAGTATTGTACAGTCTAAATTGCAGTAGTCACTAGACTAAAGGACATGAAGGATTTAATTAAGGAATTATCTGAAAAGTTGTTTTCTGGATTATTATTTTTTTGAGAAAGCTGTTCAAAATGCTTAACTAACAAAAGTACAGTATGTTTGTAAGCTTAAATATTTTTAAGGTTGATTTTTTGTTGTTTTTTTTTTCCAAAGTATGCAATAAAGTAGAAAATCTCACCTAAACTCATAGCAGCTAAGCTAAATGTTGTGAAATATTTAACTCACCAGGGATGACCTTTCTGATCTTCTCCAAAGTAACTGGATCTATGCACCACATGGAACTCTATTTGCTATTATTTCAGCTCAAAAACCAAAGCCAGGATTTGTTAAATTTGAGGTTTTCTGGCAGGAAAATAATATCTCAATTCTGTTGGTAGTAAACACCAGTTAAAGAAACATGATGCTGAATAACTTTTGCAGCACTGTCACTGAGCTTGAGTCTTGCTTGGGAACATACCAGAGGGTGTCTTGTACTTGAAAGCACAGAACGGTAATCAGCAGATGTGTAGTTTCATCTTTCAGCCAGCAAAATACTACCTCTGCTACAAATCTTTGTCCTTGTGACTGGTAAATTAATAGTAAGATTTGTGCTAACAAGAATGACTACGTCTGATTTTGATGCTTAACGATGATAAAATAAAACAAGCTTACCACATGATTATTTTGGATTCATTGATTGAACTATGATGGGTGGCATCTTTTTCATTTTTTGTTTGTAGTCTGCTGGAGTCTGTACTTCAAAGAGGGGTAGGCAGGCAGGCAGGAGGAACCTGCCAGTTTGCCTTGTCCTGGGTGCGGCTGGCTGGGCGGGGAATATCACACCGTCTTGCAGGCAGTGAGTTCTGCTGGCCAGGAGGAGCCTTCAGGTGTGGGGTGGAAGGGAGGGACACAACCCCTGGAGAACCTGTTGCAGGCTGGAGACTGAGAGATTGCCAAGGAGAGCAGGGAGCAAACAGCCTAGTCTTGAGGATGTGGAAAAGAAAGACTTTTCGTAAGGAGCTAGAGGGAACAGCAAAGAGTTTGTTGCGATTCAAACACCCAGAGGAAGCTTCTGGACTGAGAGCAAGGTTGGAAAAAAGGGTGTGCTTTCAGGGACACAGTGGGACAGGGGAGGTTTGATTTACAAATCTTTCCAATTTTCTGTATTCTAGTAAGTCTGCTCTAATGAAACCTACTTTGTGATGATATAAAACCCTTTAAGGGTAGTTAGCATGTTCACTTTGAGAAAAATATGGTAGCAGATCCATTTCAGGGTTCTGCCTGACTCGATTTCTTGTCATATTTGTGTTCTCTAGTGCATGCAACATATTATATCTAAGTTAAAAGAAGGGCTCAAAAATACCACCCAGAATAATCTTCATGTTTTTTAGGTGAGAAGCATATGTAGATACAGAGACCATGAAGCAGTCTCTGAAAAATAGGCAAGATAGAATTTAGCCAGATCAGCAAAAGGAAGGAGTTGAGAGCACTCTCTGCCATTAATTCCAGGACACTTACACCTGAAAGTCATTAACTGAAGAGCTCTAGCTGTTGTATGTGCCAAGGTAAAACTTGAAGAAGAAGCGAGCTTCAGCTAGGCTCTGGTTCCACGAGAGTGTAAGCTGGGGCTCTGACCCTTTCTTTCTACCCCTTCTCCACTCATCCAGTGGCACTCAATCTCTCAGTGAGCCATCCAGGGTGCTAAACTAGCCCAGACTAAACTGTAGTGAATCCTCAGCCATCTTTAATGCTCCACAAACAAGAGGAGGTTAAAGCTGGCCTTTTTATCTCCATATTCCTTAGTCCAAAGTGCATATAATAAATATGACTTCCACTAAATAGTAATCATATTCTGTCAGACAGGATTACAGCCCAGCTTACAAAACTGAAGTTAATTAATATTTTAAAAGCAGTCCCATATACCACTGCCGGATTATTTTTTTGATAATTAGAGGCAAGATAATAAAGCAAGATAGTACCATGTATATATCTGTATGTGTATACAAACATATATAAAAGAAACCTCTGACTTTTAATAGTTGCCAAGCTAGCACTGTTCTTAGGTACTATTACAGTGTTTACGGTGTGAAAAGAATATTTTCTACTCAGTGGCAAGTAACTCCCATCATATAATGAGACTGGCTGTACATTTGCTGGTTGGGTTGAATATTGTGTTGATAGTTATAGTTTTGTGCTGCATGTTAAGTAAAAATGAGCAGCTAATACTTTATGAAAGACAAAAACTGAATCTTAAACTACCTTGAAAGGTAACAATGGTAAATGGTTGGTTTTTCTTTAAGGACTCATTAGAGATTTTGACTTATTTTAGGATACTGTCAATGAATAGTGTTTCAGTAAGTCAGTAATTTGATAAAACCGATGATAGTCTTGTTTACCCAATGTATTTCAGTCTATTGTATTTAAAAAAGACTGGCTAGTGAATTTTTGCCTTAAAACAGGCAAAGGCATCTTTGGATCATGGTAGACGTCATGCTTGTGAAGGCTGATACATGCAAAATTCTACTGGAAATTTTTACTGAAATAAAAGCTGCTTTATGTTTTATCAGTAGCAGTCTCTTAACAATTTATTTAGGAGAAGAGGCAACTCCAAATATTTAAAAATATTTGACTGTGAATGTGTTTTGCTATTAAAGTGCTCTTAAGAGCATATTGTTTTTACCACAATAAAAAAAACATGGGGCGGGGGGTGTTACTTGATTCCAACACTTTCTATTTTAGAGGACAATTTTACACTATCCAGTACAAGACTCTGAGTGTGTGTGTGCATGTATTAATAAAGGATGACAGATCATTATCCTTTGATATATTTATAATGCTCCAGAACTATTTGTATGGTTTTATTTTTACTATGATGGTGTCACCTTAGAGTTTGTGGGTCTTGCTTGTGTTGATCACGGCACAGATTTAATGCTGCTTATGTTCACATAGTGAGCATTTCCCTTTAGGCCATAAAGTTTGTAAGTAATGTAAGTGAAAAGCACATGTGGCTGGCACATATTTCTAAATATTCTGTGAGTTTGTGAATGCATCCTGTCAGGTCACAGAGAATTTTCTAGTTGGTCTTCAGGCTCTGATGGAAGTATTCTTTGTGTACTTGGGAAGAAGCTTTACTAATAAGAAATTACGAAAATTATTTCCTAGAACCATGTCATCAAAATCTGAAGTTCACTATTAAGAAAAAATTGAACAAGGATTTAAACATATAGTAACTGTCATCTTTAAAACATAAGAAACTTGAGGAAAATATTTGAGCTCCGCTCTGCTATGGTTAAAGCCTTTTCTGGATGTGCAAATTGGACAGACTTCACCAAAAGGAAAAGAAAAATAGGTGTGGGTCTCTAGTTTCAGTATCTGCAATGCAGTGCCACTGGAAAGTAGAAATACTGTCTTTCTCCTGCCTTCCCAAGGGCAGCTGACCTTCTCCTCGCCAAAGAGGTGAACCCCTTGCCAGCACATATGACTACAGACTATTACATTAATCTGTTTAGCCTCAGTACCAGCTGCTTGCATGTTTTTAATTATCTTATTAGATGGTATAACAGTGACCTATGAAATAAAATGAAGGTGAGTATTTTTTAACTTTATTTTACAGGCTATTTTTCTAAATATATTTTAATGACCTAATTATGACTTTTAGGTAGAGCCATTGATGCAGACATTCAATTTGGCTGATAGAATCTAACATCTCAAGGACACTTATTTTCTTCCAAGGTGGATTTATACATTAATACTGCTTCTAATAAATATATAGCCTAAAAAAAGCTCACTTTTCATACTTGTGTTGTTAACTTACTTTATGATTCAGAGACCCATGACTACTATGCTGGATAATTTCTTAATACATCTCTGCACTTGTATATAAGTTTAATTTCTACCCCATGTATCAAGATAGTTCTTCCCTGTGTGGTTTAAACTCCATGACAAGTGATGATTGCTCAAAGTTGTGGGTTACATAGACAATGTATATTCTTCCTGCTG